TTTTTGTTATATTAGAAAGCATAGGAAAATTTTAATCTTTACAATATAATGAAATACCCCATTTTAACTGATTTAGTCTCACTAGTGACCTTGGCAGAGATGTAAGACTATCGTACAATATCAAGCAGACGAGTAATGAAAATAATGAAAACTATCAAAAAGGGGATAATTGGTTGATAGTTACAGAAAAATATCAAAACGTCGCATAAATTGTATTTAGACAGTAAAGAGAATTACCAATGAAATCTTGAAAGTTAAAGGGTTATGTAAATATGTATCAGAAAGACAGCAAATAAATGTAATATACTCCAGTAAAGTGACACCACATAACTTATAAAACAATGAAGTTTCAAACTCACTGAAATAAAGTTAACTTCGTGATTCAGATTTTAGTTTAAGAAATGTCTAATATCTCTTTACAAGGATGAAAAGAGAATGCCACTTATGAATTTTAAAATAGTAAATGCAAAAGCCTTAAAGATGGAACTGAAAAAGACTGCCAAAATATGGCATATCTATTCACTGAGATTTTAATCATTGGCTGGCGCACAGAGATGTAAGAGTGGTCGTCTGTAAAAATTAAGCAGAGGTGTTGAAAATAAAAAGAATTGAAAATTTTTTCAAACTTACCCAGAACATAGGTATGAATGGCCTTAGTTACAGAAAAATATCAAAAGTGCCGAAAAAAATATTATTTTGGGAGAACGGTGGTATTTTGTGTTTTGGGGGTTCATAACCGTGTTTTCTTGGTGAAATAGTGCACCTCAAGTTAGCGGCCGAAAAAATTTCATTTCGCCAGCAATTCGGACACCACAGAACAATTCTAAAACAAAGAGATGTTTTTCAAAGGTTCTGAAGTATTTTTTCCAAGATTCCTTGAAAAACGATTTTTTTACGAGTTTTCTAATTCAGGGAAAAGTTCACCCATCAAAACATAGCTCAACTTTGGCGACTAAAATCGGCCATTGTTACATGGCTCCATAAACTGAGACAATAACCACTGTCAAGAACAAGGTCTCTTCTTTTAGAAACTGCAATAAAATTTTTGGGCTCCTTAAACTACGAACTTTTAGAGGGATTTATATAAGCGTATTTGAGCTCAAGAAGTGCGTTACGTGATCAACGTGACTTGCAGTAGTTCCCGCAAGACCAGTGGAGAAAGTAAATGCGTAGTCATAACTAAGTGCAAAAGAGACGCCCAAGGTCATCTTAAAACATATCAATGCGGTTCTTTCTTCTCGCCAGAGCAGGTAAATATCTCATCATCAAAAATATCAAGAATGTTTAGCAAAGGCAAATAGTGTATCCCTCTTTGTTCTGCTTATATATTTTGCAATAAGATCAATGAGATCATATCGTGACATGGTTCAATGCCCTGGATTTTATCTTTGCTCTAACATTCATTTCTTGAATCCACATAAACGCTTGAATCCAAGACAACAGGATGCCAGTCAGCACTATATGTTGTCATGAAATATAAAGCATTGGTCCATACCTACAATTTATTTATTTATCTATCTATCCATTCCTTCCCTCTCTAATTCCTTTATTCATTCATTTATTTATTTATTCATCCATTCATTCAATTATTTAATAAGTATACACATTATATACATTGGAAATTATATCCATTATATTTACATTATTTTACGAAATGGGTCTGGGGGAGGGCCGGGGCTTGCATTGAATTGCGCACCCTCTACTCCAAACTAAGTTCCCATGATTTGAAATTTTCATTTGTTTGTTTCGTTGTTTTATGTTTTTGTTTGTGTGTGTGTGTTTGTGTTTGTATGGTTTGCTTGTGTGTGTGTTTATCTTTGCGTTTCTATCATTCTGAATGAACAAGTAAACGACATCGCTTTTTCAGGTATATTCGAAGTTGAGGAAAGCCATAAAGAAAGAAAATTTTTTTTGGCCGTTATATTGAGGTGCCCTATTTCATCGGGAGAAAACGGTTATGAATCCCCAAAACACAAAATGCCACCGTTCTACCAAAATAATATTTTTTCGGCATTTTTGATATTTTCCCATAACTAAAGCCATTCATACCTATGTTCTGGCAAAGTTTAAAAAAAATTCAATTTTTTTATTTTCAACACCTCTGCTCGATTACTACTGACGACCACTCATAAAAGAGGCTTTGTGAAAAAGACCAGGGCAATAAAATTAAAGATTCAGTAGGAGCATATGACATCAACAAGTTTACTGATGTTCTCACCTGAATTCAGTCTGTAAAGAGAACTATGCAACACTTCTGTGTTACCTTCCCACACTTACCCTGAATTCTGAATTAACCCTTTAACTCCTGTGAGTGACCAAGACAGAATTTATCTTTACTATATCTATACAATATCATGTAGACAAGTGATGAGAATTAAGAAAAATATCAATTATGGGATTACTAATTGATCCGGTACCAAATTCTCCAAACAAACACAATGACAATTGTTTGGCAGACAGTAAGGAGAATTACTAGTGAGATCTTGGGAGTCAAAGGGTTAAAACAAAATTTAATTATTTGTAGGCAGGTTAAGGAGGAAATTAAAGGACTGGATATATGTTACATAAAAAGAAATCCCTTTAAATAAAAACAAAGAAGAAGCATATTACCTACGTGTCTTTGTTTCTGAAGAAAGCTATAATAGGTATTTTTTAGCAATTATCTTTATCAATATGTAAACCGGGTGCAATATACGGTCGTAAAAGCAATTATTTTATTCTAACCTTCCTCCTTCAAGGGTGCATTGTGTATCAAATATATCAAGTTCAGTACGTCCGGAGTCATAAGCCGGGCTTTTGGGGCTACAAAATAATAAAATAATCAACACGTCATGGAAGGACGATTTATCGAGAGTCAATTTAATATAGTTTCCTAAAATCGTATGGAAAGTTTAAAATGTGCTTCACTTGTGCTACATATACGGATTTATCGTTCTTAATTACTGATGAAATTCCGAGAGTGTGACTCAGTTAATTCAAAAGAAAATATCCAAGTAGGTTACAGAAATGGTTCACGAATTGTAAACTGATAATGTGTCAACAAAACCTCCCTAAATTATGGTGCCGATACGAATTTATCGTTCATAATCAATTATGAAATTCCGAGATTGTACCTCAATGAATTCAACAGAAAATATCCAAGCAGGTTACGGAAACGGACTCTCAAAAACGGCTCTCGAATTCAAAAACCGTAAACAACAATTATTTACGCTAACCATGTCAGCGTGCTTTGAGCTCAAATTGCCAAGACCCCGTTTAATTACACGATCACAGCTCAGACGCTTCTTGCAAAATGTGATGACTATCGATTTCAGAGACTGATTCTTCAGTTTCCAGCATTAGAAAAAAAACATCGTATTGCAAGCATGTTCATCATAACCCGTGCAGTAAGTACGCCTCGAGATGCTGAGAGAAGAGAGAGTGGCTAGATGTTTGGTGAGACAATTGAAATTATTTCCTGAAGTTCGTACGAATCGAGTAGAAAGCATGAAAACATAGCACTGAAAAGTACCATGACTAAGCAATGAAGTTCACTCATTCAGCTGTAGAACTAATTCCATTTTACCCGTGAGTTTGTTCGCACCACACATTTGCGGTCCGTAATTTGATTCTCAGATGTTTGACGGGTTCTCACATGACAATATTTTCAAACTCAAATTACCGCGTCGGGATTGATGTAAACATGGACATCGCTGACTCAATCTCATTTTATTTCAATTTTGGGAAAGGATACTACTTCGTTCTTAGGCTAAAACAACACTTCTTCGACAAAGCGCGATTTTTTTTAAATGAACAGAGTAAATCCTGAGATAGTTGTCTAAAGAGAGAAAGAGGTAGAAACTTGCGCTCGCCGTTCGCTATGATTTGAAAGCCTTCTAGGCAAAGCAAAATCCGTAAGATAACTTCTTTTCCATTAACACCACGACTGTATAAAACATTCCAAATGACAGGACAAGAAATACCATGAAGAATACGAACACTTTTAAATGCTATTCGAGCGATAAACCGGCGCGAGAGTTTTTGGGCGATGAAGGCCAAAGTCTTTATTGAACCGAAACATGATTTTCATTTTTAAACTGAAGCTAGTATCAAACGACGATTGTTGAAAAAGGTTTGCACCTAGTAGCACCTTGTACGGTCGGTCGTACGGTCGTACGTCCAAATTTTTTTGGCTTGATAGGTTATTACTCGACTACTGGTAATAGCTCCGCTATTAGAGAACCGTGAAAATTGCGACATGTATTAGTCTTGCACGTTGCTTGTTTGGGTTGAAAGATCATCAAGGGTGTTTTGATTTGGACAGCAGGCGAAAACGCATCAGAAAGTACGTATTTAAAATCAAAAGGCTTTAAATTGGACAGTGAAAACAAAACGAAGACCTTTAACTGTTATTCCACATAAACAACATCCATCTTTTTGGCTTCTCCCAGGACTAGTTTAATCATGTACGACATAAAGAGCTCTTCTTTCATATTTTTTCTTTCCTCTATCTCTCTGAAAGTGTTGAATAATAAGCTAAAATATTAGGTGAGACCCGACCACATATCTGGGCATGCGCGTGCCTTGGATGGGAAAGGTAGCGAGCCTTCAGGTTAACATAATCAAGTTGTCAACAACCACACAAGCAAGTGGGTCACGGTGTTTTAAAATCGTCTGATAAAGTTTTGATAAATCTGAAAACAAATTGGGAAATCAGCGGGATACCCGTATTTGAATAAGCTTTGTCTTTGAAAATTTCGAGTTTTACTATACCTTAGTTTTGTTTCCTTTGACAGATTTCTTAAAACGTTTAAAATTTTATTTCCATTGTATGAGTGACACTAGTTTTTTCTTTTTTTAAATTTAATATTTTAACCACTAAATAACCACACACTTTTCTAAGACATTAGCAAAAAATTGCTATGGGATATTCAGTCCTTCATTTCAATATGCATCAACGTAATGAAATTTAGACGAATGACGATTCACCGTTATGTTTCCATCTACAATATATTTCATTGTTACAATTTTTCTGCACCCCCATCCCCTTTCATCAGCCCTTGATGGTTCACTTTGTGATGGTCGCTATGGTGAAGAGGTACTTTGTCTGATGCGACATCTCTGCTGGGCAAATACCACACGACCTTCCTCACATGTCTGTCATAGCTATAGCAAGCACAATAAGACGCCCAGACACTCCATTCACAACCGTACCATCCCATATCTTGTGTTTTCTATGAAGATATCATATTTGCCAACTGAATCTTATTGATAGTGTTCGTTTTTTCTCAAGGAGCAATGTGAGATTTTTTGCTTCGGGCGAACATTTTTATGTTATAAATCTTAAAAAAAAGTGTATGCATCTTGAAAACTTTAAAATTCGACAATCAAATTAGGTAAGGAGTGGTTCTTAAACATCATAAGAGTGCCTTTGGGTAACTCTCCTATCTACGTACCTTTTGGTGTCTACCAATATACTCTATCATCTGATCTCTATAATAAGTCCGGTTGAAGTGAAGAGGAACGTTTGTATTTTAAAGAATAAAGTATACCTTAATTTAGAAGACAAAGGATATTTGAATGGCGAAATTAGATAATTAAACGACTGCGAACAAATCCCTATTTGTTATATGTTAACGTGATGGATTTCACCAGAAAGTGTTAAGTTCCATTAATTTCAACCATCAAGAATTCGACGGATCGGGAAAATCTAAACCAGCTAATTTGGGCAGGAAACCGTGTTTTACTTTGGTGCAACTTGACCATTAAATGATAACCTCTTTTACAAAACGGTCCACTTAACATTCTGTTAATGATTGAAGTACAGTCTAATCTTTCTTTAACGCCACCTTGAACAGAGGAAAGTGACCATTGTAGGTAAGTGGCGTTTTAGACAGAGGTGATGCGAGCAGGAAATTGCTCTTTCCAAAAAAGCTTTTTCTGGCACATGAATCTGTACCATTAGGAAAAAAAATTTAAAAACAGAAACAAGAAAGATCAAGCAAGGTAGTATATAACATTGCGAACCATTAGGGAAGAATAAATACGTAACATAATTAAGAATTTATACCTTTCAATTCGGAAAGAAATTATGATCCTCTAATACAAACAACAACTAAAAACGTTTACAAAACGAAAGAAGTAATATACAGCGTGTCTTTCAGTCTGTTCTACGTTCACTTTTATTATTGCAGACTACATTGCTTTTCTTTTCAGCTGAATTAATTTGTGAAATGCCATCTGCTTTTGGGAGTAGTCGAGTCGTAACTGGTCGTTGTAGTAAGGGTATTTCTGGCTCGTGTTACGCGCTTTACACAGGTTTTAGATGCCTAATCATGGTACTTAATCAGACTAAGTGCCGTCGACAAAACTGTTCGTAACTGTACAATTCCCACCAATGTGCCGTTCAGATGTGAAATGCAAAACAATAAGACATGTTTTCTGGAGCATGTCTATTTTCATCAACTCCTTTTAGTTTTTCAGTTAAGTTAACCAAAATTTTTTTCCCAGGAATAGTTCATTTTTAAATGAACTTTGTGATGCAGCTATGACATCGCCGAGTTTCTTTTCGATATGATGGCTTTTTACAACCCAATTTTCATCACATAATATTCACAGTTACTGCTGATACTGTTTTACCTGTATAAAGAAATTTACGATGTTTATGCTTCACCAGTTATTGCATTGTTTACCTATTGTTGCATTGTTTACTTATTGTTGTGGTAGTTTGACTATATAAAGTTATCAAGACCTTTTCTTTTAGAGAGTGTTTCGTCCGCGAGTGATTTACTGGTCGTTGAAGGAAGGGTCTTTTCAGTATATGATACACACTTTACGCAAGTTTTATATTTCTAATTGTGGTATTTAATCGGACTAAGTGCCGTCTAAAAAAGCGTTCGCAACTGTGTTTATCTCGTGTAGCCCCATGCTGACGTGTCCAGGTGATCAGAAATAGAAATTGCTTATTGTTTGTCAACTGTCTGTACAAAGTGAGTTTTTCAGTCGATTCATCCATGTTATAAATCATGAAGCTTGTCTTGTATTTGTGGACATCTCCATAATGGTACCCAAACGTGAGGAACAGACTTCCATTAAAGGTAAAATGTTGAAAAGCTACAGCTTCTCTGGTTGGCAAGTCTAGAACTTTCTCGAAGAATTGGAGACCAGTAGAACATTTTCTGACGAAAGAAAAACAAATAGTTAACGTAATTTACTTTTAATGTACTGTTGCTTGTTAGAATCCCCTCTTAAAAGGTTTCACCATTGTTTTGATGTATCTTACCTGAGACAGTTTTCTTTTCGTTTCAAGGGAACTGGCCTCACAAAAACTTGAATGTTTCCCAAGTTCTCTTATAAAACAATTTAGGTCATGGAAACTCTACAGTTTCTGAAAAAGGCCTTTGGCCTTTTGTGTTAGGTGTCTGTTACTTAAAAAAAAGTCACTGTTCATCGTAATTATTGATCACTGTATTGTAGTATATAGTTTGCAATCTTATGAAAGAAATCTGAAGATTCAGTTTTAAGTCAGCTCAATTTTTTTTTTCGCTTCGTATAATGGGTGCTCACCTTGGCATGTATTGGAGGTTTTCTTAAACATAGCAGAAAGATGAATGTCGATATAATGATTGTAATTTAAGGGTAAAATATAGGGGTCAGAGAAACCTGTTTTACAGCTACAGGCACACGAACCTAAATCTAGGGTGTGTTTTTGAAGAGCCGTGAAGTTGGTACGTTAACCTACAATGTTACGAAAATTGAATATCATTAAATGGTTGGAAAATAGTTGGTTATTTTCAAGGGAACACATGATATAGTGCGCTAAAATTAATCCATCAAAGAAGTGGTGTTGAGACACTTAAGAGTGAATTTTAGAGTTTCATCGTGCTGTACCTATTTCATTTTGTAGATATTGTTTCCCAAGCTCTGATCATGCTGCGCTCATCAGTAAAACTTGATGTCTAAACTGTTCCATTTGCTTTTGATAAAAACTCAGTCTTGTGATAATTAAAAATTCCGGCAGGCTTATGATCAATGTATCGAGATAAAGGTAGTTCTTAGGATTTCCTCCATATTTGTTCCCCCAATTGCAGTTTATTGGCAGTCAATTTTCTACATTTCCGCCTGGAAACTTTAATACTAACGACAAACTCCCCCCTCCCCCCCCCCTTCCCCCTAGAAACCTTGCGATCCCCTCAAAATCCCCCAACCTGGTGAGAAATAATGACTGTTTCGTACCAATTTCATTTGTGAAGGAATTTACTTTGAAAAATTTGTTTTCCATCTTAATCGAATATTTAGTTTGAATAAAAAAAACTACATTGCAATTTATTTCCTGCCTAAAAAAGAGTTTTTCTGCTGTTAGGTAGATAAACAGTTGACTTTGATATTGAAAAGAAAAAACTTTTTCATTCAAAAATCGATAAGTAAACCATCTTTGTCCATCTTTTCCGTCTTTTCATGTATTAAACAAAGAAAGATTTTTGTTGCGAGTTTTACTCCCCATCTTTACAGTATCGAGCTTGTAGGGCACAGCAGTTTGGTTTTGTTGCTGCTCACTGACTCTGTATAAAGTGTTTTCAGTACAAGCGAAAAGTGTTAGAAACGCTAGGAAAATATGGGAAATTACACGATCGAGCTTAACTTAAGTCTCAAACTTTCACTGAAATTCCGATGCAGAAGCAATCTATTTAAACCAGGTTACCATTTTCATGACCTGGTTAGTATATTTGTTCTGTGATTTTGCAAGGCAAGCGCCAACGGAACATTTTCACTCTCAGCGCCCTTCGATATGAAATGGTAGACGAATCAGTCACCATAAAGAAAACAAATTTCAAGCTCTGTTTACTTTGCCTCAGAACAGGAAAATTCAGGATGTTCAATAACTTCTTTTATCAATAGTGTTTATAATGCACAATGAGAATGTGTAGTTCATGGATTATGATATGCTAACTGACCGACTACGATAAACGTCCTCTCAAAACATCTTTAGCTTGTGCAGTGATCTGGAGAGGAGAACTTCCCTATTTTCAGAACGTGTCAGTATTTGAACCTTTAGCAATAAGCGTTTTCCTTTTTTTCTTGGAATCTTAGCCTCGTTAGTTCAAAAGACGATTTGTAATTCATTATAGAGTAATCTTGTCGGTATTGGATGCGACACCTTTCTAAAGCAAAATGAACCTGTTTTACAGCGTAGCATTTCAAGTTGTAATGAAAATGGAAATTGTTTTGAAAATATAATTCTCCTTATAATATGTGGCAAACGGCATAGGCTTGAAAAAACATTGAAAAGTAGGGTATCATTGGGAAGAAATCATTACTTATCGCTGATAGGGTGACACGTTAAAATAAATACATTACTCCGTCTAAGATCCACCCAAGCTGATCAAACGACTCCAATCACTGTTCCATTATCCTGTATTGATCCCGTGTAGCGCTATATGCTGACGTGTCTAGATGATCAGAAATACACATTGCTTATTGTCTATCAACTCTCCTTTCACTCGGTTTAATAGAGACTTTCCAATTGAACTTATAGATAATGGGCTCATAAATTTTAGAGCCGGGATCGTATTTTAATGCAACATAAAATCAAGGATGGACAAAGTTATCGAGGGAAAAAGAGAATGATTAAGGTCGGTTTCCCTGATGTCACACAACAAAAAATATTTCAGAAATGATCACTTACAGTGATGTTCTGAGAGGGATATGTTCGTTTTAGGTCTAAGTATCTATAGTAACAGAACTGTTTGATATTTGCAAGAAAGGTGCAGCAATACCGATGAGAAAGACTTCGCACCTAGCCTCGTCCTCGTGCCGTAATTTCGGGTACCGGGTACCAGATCAATGACTCACGACAACTCGGAAGAGGACGAAAATTCTAAACGCTGAGTAAGCACGAAATGAACTTCCAACGACTGCGAATGTTTTCGAATATAAATTTATAATTACATTTTTATCATCACGGATAGTTACACTAGTTCTTTACTGAAGGAATGACTCGAAGAAATCATTAAGCAATTTTAAAATTTAAATAATCATCATTACAACAAAGGAGCATTTATATTATAAAATCATTTGCTTGATTACAGGAGTTTTCCTGCCTTAGCTCAAAAACGGCGCTCAGGAACAGAACGATGCTTCTTTTAAAAACAGCGGGAATTTTCTTATCTACAACTTCATTTGAACACTTCTAAGCTCCTACAAGAACTGAGTTAACACAAGGTACTCGGGTGACGGTTGTTAGTTAGCTTACATTTGAATTACATGCTGATGATCTTTGCGCGAAGCTAGCACAACGAATTGCCGCGTTACGGAAGATGGGGCGTTCACTTGCTCTTCAATAAAGGAAACATGCTGTATGCAATTCTGTATGCCTCGACCGTGTGACCATCTCGCTTTGTAAATGATATCCAAGAGTTATTATCCGACTGCAATAACTGTCTGTATTTTGACGAGCACCATAAAAAAATACTAACTTTCTGCATATAAACCCACACACAACCCACAATTCCTCCAATCGCTCTGACGAAGGGCTAACGCTCGAAACGTCAGTTTTTTTACCCTTTACGGTGGCCAATTTACGTTTTCAACTCAGTTGTTAACACTAAATTACCTGCTATGCTCTCCCACCGAAGCAGCACCACAGTTTCTTTAGAAACTTACCCCCTCTATTCATTTGTCATTTATTTTCTAAGACCACTAACCCTTGCCTTAGAATTTTTCAATCCACAGATCTCACAGCAACGGGCAATGCCAAGCCTAAAGAGACTTACCAAGGAGCAACGCCAAGAAATCGTATTCCTGTTTTCTCGTCACCGTATTCCCACCGTAGCGTAGCTCCACTTTCTGCATGAAACCCACACACAATCCACAATTCCTCCAATCGCTCTGACGGAGGGCTAACACTCGAAACGTCAGCTTTTTTACCCTTTGCGGTGGCCAATTTACGTTTTCACTGAACTCAGTTGTTAACACTAAATTACCTACTAAGTTCTTATTAAACGAGCGCGAGGGCCGCACTGGGACAAGGTCGTGGCAGTGCGGAATGAGCATAGCGAGGTCAGTACAAAAACTACATAGAAACGGCTCAAGCAAGCGAGGGTTATCAAGCAGCTTATTGTATGCTGCTCGGACTCAACTTGTTCATTTTTTTCCTGTTAAAAGTGCTCCGGTCACCTGAATTCAAAGGGTTTGTTCCGTGACATGTATTTGATGATGTGAGTAACTCGAAAAAAAGATAGTCCACGAGTTTCAAACAGATTTATTTAACGAAAAATCGGAGTGAATTTAGACAAGAATTCAAGAAAGAGCTACAACGGAATTAGTCAAAAATCAAACCAGTTACTGGTTTTTTTTCGAAATTTAGAAAAGGGTTTTGTAAGGAAAACATTGGCAATTATGGATTAAGAAAGTGTTGTTATGAAAATCAGTTCAAACTTAGAGAAGCAGCTGTAAGGTCAATTGTTTTTATCGCTCTTGACAACACATTAACGCTTCTTTTTATTCATATCGATTTTTACATTGCAGTATAATGTCTGGAAGGTGTATCCAGACGTAGATCCTATGTTTCCACCAGCAAAAACTAGAGCTGCGGAGAACAGTATAAGGTTGTGAGACTGGGTAATCAATGAATTTTCTTTCCTACTGGTAACGATTTCTGCAGCCGAGCAAGCGGCGACTTCAGAAAGAGTAACTAGATTGTGGGCCATGGACATCCTCTTTTGGTGTTTCCAACACTTATTTGGGCTAAAACGTTCTCCGGAATATCTACAGCGAGGAGCCTTAAAATACAGGTTTTCCTACCAGAATGATTAGTTACTCGTTTTCCTTTAAGCTTAAGGTTGATATCCTTTGCAGCTGTGAATAGAGGGTTTTAGATCGTAGATGTTGATAATGGCTTAAACTATTTTAAATAGTTCAAGTTATTACATGCGTCCCAAAGATTTTCATTTACCTCGATTTTTCAAACACTTTAACTTACGGACCTGTACCATGGATCAGACTATACGACCAGGCAAACCAGACAAACAACCTCCAGGCCTCAAAAAACACCATAAGAAAACTAGACATCAGTAATAATTTAGATCGTATAGTGAGTGTTGCTACCTTTATGGGAAAATTATTTATATTTTTGATTCAGATTATAGATTATAGATTTTAGATTGTAAATGTGAGAT